GGCATCACAATATGTTAAGGGGCGTAACATTTCTGTCACATGCTTGAGGTATTCGGCCAATCATAATGCACTGGATAGCTGGCCAATCACAGCACACCTCGCTTTTTCTGACCGATGAGCTTTGTAAAAATCGACACGTTTCAGAAAGGCGGGGCATAGAGGAGAAACAATAATGTACAGTATGTGGAAAATAATGTGTTTTTTTAACCTTAAACCGCATAAACACATTTCATTACACCAAATACACAAAATAATGTTCATTTTAGCAACATCATATGACCCCTTTAAGGCGATCATCACGAATACATGATTGGAAAACATGAATCTGGACTTTGTGTTAGATGTGATTTTCCTGAAACAGCTGAACATGTTTCAATAAAGTGCAAAGGATATGATAATGAAAGATTACAATTTACAGAAGCACTTAGAGATATAGGGATTAATCAGTTTTCACTTCAGAAGTTGTTAAACAAAAATGCAACTGTAAAAGTGAATAACATACTGTTGAAATATCTCAAAGATTTAAATTGGAGACCCTTTTTGTTTTTTTTAGTCTTCCCTTAACGTCGATGCTCCACACTCCATCCCAGCAGGTGGCGGCGGTATATGCACCTAAAGCTGATTTGCCAACTGCCATAAAACGTCAAAAAAGAAGAAGTATCATGAATAGATGTTTTCAAAAAATAGCATACTAACATACGACTCTGTGGTATCCACCTTACTTTTTAAGTACTGTAAGAGCGGGCACGGCCATTTTTCTAACTTGAATGTGCGAGGCTTCCGGTATCATCGCTTCCAGTTATTTTTATGTGTACAATTCACCTGGTTATGCTACTTGATATTTCTGAGAAACTGGTATTTCTCACATTATATTAATGTATTGTCATAATTATAAACACACTGGTTTGTAGCACAAATATTTTTACCGTTTACGGTACTTCCTTATTCTTCTAGTTATTTATCAATAGCAGCTAATTAAGTGTAATCAAATATGCCTACTATATACAAAGCATGGACAACTTGCAATGCACTCAACTTGACCTTTCATTTCCAAAGTGATGAATCAACCGGAATTCTTGGCATGATCTTTAACATATTTTTTCATCATTTCATCATAGTGAAAATAAATAAAATAAAAAGTAAAAATTTTTTTTTACTCAACAGTATTGAATAGATGACTTGATCAGTCACATACATGATAAGGTCCATGATGCCACTGTAACATATTGTTACACTTAGTATTAAAGTAAAAAAAGAAAAAAAGGCACTCTAAGAAAAGTTCATAAAAATTTGTCCCAATCTACTGTTTATGTGAATTTTCTATACTGATTTTTTACAGGTGGTTTACCTGTATTTTGAATTACACATTGCATTGTGTATTGCTTAGGGTTGAAGGAAATGTCCATAAATTTAACGAAAAATTTACCCCCTTATCCTACAGGTTTTTTTGATAAGGTGAGGGTATACTGAAGTATTTTTAGGTAGTATGCTAGTTTTCCAGTACTACTAGTAATAGTCTATTAGTATTGTTACCTAGGGTCAAAGGTTTTTCTTAAACCCACATTTGTTCTATGGTCATACCTCGATTTTTGTCTGGAAAACCTGGAAGATTTGGAAAAAAGATCTGGAAGATTTCTTGAGAAAATGTAGAAGTAGTAACAAAATCCAACATTGACTTTCAAGTTGAATATCTTTGCTGAGGATCCATGGAACAGTCAAATAGCTACGAAGTGGTTTTCGTGAGCTTTCATGTGTTTATCAGGCTCATGACAGATGGATTCGGGTGTTGAGATTTGATAATGCATGGCGTGGTGCTTTCGCTGCTGTTCTTGGCTTCTGTCCTGATCTTATCAAATGCTGAGGATCATTTAGATAGAGCCTTGTCAGAGCCTCAGGCCATGCTGAGTTACATTGCATGTTCTGTCCAGCAGGGAGATCAAATCATTCAAAGAGATAAAACCGTTTTGATCATTGACTGGAAGTCCGATGCTACAGTCATCAGCACAGTTGGACTCTCCGTTCCCATAAATCAGCATCAGACACTTATTATGTCATACAAAACCTCAATCCACACCACAGTGACTCCACCCAAGAAATATAAGTAACTTTAACTGTGGGCTACAGACAAAACAGTAATTGCACTTAGTGAACTGTAAAAGCACAAACAGGCTCATGCAAAGCTATCAAGCTGTGCACGACAGACTTCAGCCAATAAAAACTGTACATGTTTGAGCCACAGCCAGTCAAAGCTACCTATGGTTCATCATCTGTTCGGGATCATAGCAAATAAAAACTGTGTTTTGTATGTTTTTCAGACTTTGGGCCAGAGCCGTCAATAAAATGTACAGTGCTATGATTCAATTGAGACAATATGAATGACATATATGAACAATTATTGTTAAAGAACACCAATAAGGTATCCAAGGTATCAATTTAAAAATGTATTACAAATTGTAAAATATTATTTAATTATTATTAATGAAATATTTTAATAACAAAAATTATATTTTATTAGTTATTTACATTATTTTGCAGGCTAAGGAGGGAATAATTTTTACGTCTGTTTCCAAACAAAAAGAAGAGTGTTTCCTTTTACTCTTGTTTCTCACCTCTGCTTGTTGCTTTTGGGATCCATGGTGCTGATTGACAGGCGATCAAGAGGCGTGTTGGATCCGGGGAAGCTCCGTTTCCTCTTGGTCTCAATGACATCGTTCTCCAGTCGGACCAGCTGGTCGTGCAGGAGGAGTTTAGCGTTCTTCTGCTCGGTTTGGCCTCGCTGGACACTGCGGCTCTCCACAACAGATGGTTCCACATACTAGATTAGA